TTTTTTTTTTTTTTTTAATAATTTTTTATTATCATTACCTTTTTGAGATGGAGTCTCACTGTGTTGCCCAGGCTGGAGCGCAATGGCACAATCTCGGCTCACTGCAACCTCTGCCTCTTGGGTTCAAGCAATTCTCTTGCCTCAATCTCCTGAATAGCTGGGATTACAGATTTGTGCCACCACGCCTGGCTAATTTTTGTATTTTTAGTAGAGATGGAGTTTCACCATGTTGGCAAATCTGGTCTTGAACTCCTGACCTCAGGTGATCTGCCCACCTCAGCCTCCCAAAGTGCTGGGATTATAGGTGTGAACCACTGTGCCCGCCCCACTTCTGGCTTCTTTACTTTACCCTGATGAAGATCACCACTGTTACTCTCATGAAAAAAAAGAAAAGTCTATTCTTATCTGAGGAATATGAGCTCCTTTAAATTATCAGGCCCAGGCTGGGCTTGGTGGCTCACACATGTAATCCCAGCACTTTGGGAGGCCAAAGTGGATGGATCACATGAGGTCAGGAGTTTGAGACCAGCCTGGCCAACATGGCGAAACAATGTCTCTACTAAAAATACAAAAATTAGCCAGGTGTTGTGGCCCATGCCTGTAATCTCAGCTATTCATGATGCTGAGGCAGAAGAATTGCTTGAACCCGGGAAGCAGAGGTTATAGTGAGCTGAGATTGTGCCACTGCATTCCAGCCTGGACCACAGAGCGAGACTCCATCTCAAAATAAACAATAAATAATCAGGCTCAGAGAAACACTGGAATAAAACAGCAGTCACATCACCCTCCCTGGAGCTAAATAATTACCTCTTGAAGCCACTTGCTATGTGGGCTCTAGATTAACTAATGCCAAAGAGCCATTAAATGGCATACACCGTATAGTTAATATGCAGCTGAACACTAACCAATGTTATTTCTGTAAGCCAATAGGAATTCCTAACAACTTTTGTAATCACCCCCCTTCCTGATTTGTTCTTTTTACTTCAAAATCTTGAGCCTCTTCTTTGTTCCCCAGAGCGCTCTCCAAGGCAAACTGGAAATATGTTCCCGACTGCAGTCCTCAACTGTGGCCCAGATAAACTCTCTATATTAATTATGCCTCAGTTTCTTCCTTTGAAGTTGACACTCAATTTACCAGTGACTTATCATATGATGTTTAGTGATTTTTCAGGACAGCTTAGTCTTGTTGACATTTATCAAACATCAGAAACTTCACGCAACTCTTCTTATCAGCCTTGATTCATTTTTCTTTTTTCAAAAGTCTACCTGTTTGGCCTGGTGCAGTGACTCATGCCTGCAATCCCAGCACGTTGGGAGGCCAAGACAGGTGAATCCGTTGAAGTCAAGAGTTTGAAACCCTATCTCTACTAAAAACACAAAATTTTGTATTTTTTGGACAGAAAATACAGTAACACATGGTGGTGCCTATCTGTAATTCCTGTTACTCAGGAGGCTGAGGCAGGAGAATCACTTGAACCCGGCAGGTGGAGGTTGCAGTGAACCCAGACCGCACCACTGCACTCCAGCCTGGGTGACAAAGCGAGACTCCATCTCCAAAAGTAAATAAATAAATAAATAAATAGTCTACCTGTTCCCATTCTTGTGTCCCCTTTCTGATAGCTTATGTATCTCATTTAAGTTTTTGCCTAATCTTAGAGGAATGGGATACTGAAATGATCAAATGTACATTTCAAAAAGATTACATTGGCTGCAGAGTTCAAAAAAATATTATCAAAGGGAGAGCAAAAGTGAATGAACATAATGACATGTTGAGAGTTGATTTCAATAATTTAAGAGAGAAATAGAAATTTGAATTATGGTGGTGGTCATAAAGATGGAGGGATTTAGATGAACACAAAACAGCTTTAGAAGTCAAAACTGGGCCGGGCGCGGTGGCTCAAGCCTGTAATCCCAGCACTTTGGGAGGCCGAGGCGGGTGGATCACGAGGTCAAGAGATCAAGACCATCCTGGTCAACATGGTGAAACCCCGTC